ACTGCAAGTATTAGTTGTAGGGATCGTAAATCCCTCATTATTTAACACAGATGCAGGCTGTTTATGAAGTCATGTCCAGTCCATTGGGTGAGGTTGGTGGTCTATTCCATTAATTTTTTGTCGACAGCTCAAGCTGTCGTTTCATGTAACGGAAAGCCTTCTTGATGCAGAGACTGAGCAGAGACTCTTACTATTGAAGTAAAATTCTGAGGAAGCTTTCCGACGCCCTGTATACGTTATCGATGGTCGCTGGAGCGTATTTCAGTACAACATTAATATACAAGACGCGATAATCCCAATCTCTCGAGTGGAAAGACTGCGAAGAGTACGGCACAAATGACATTCTCGGCGATACCGCCGAAACGTTAGTATTAGTAAAAACTTCGTGAGGGTTAAAAACTACATCAAGTACAAGCAGTGAACTGTCAATACTTACGCGCCTGTTTCGGATATTTGAAGGAAGTTGGTGATGAACTACCTGGGGGGTCAGGGTTCTCTATTTGTTTCTACTTGAATCATCGAAAGCTGGTAAGCTTTTTGGTGTTATTTTGTAACCGAGAATGATTAGTCTTCGAAGAATACACTTTTGGCTTAGTCGTTCTGCGCAAGCAGGGTTGACGGAAATGAGCCCAGTAGGGGAGCGTTAAGCATAGGCAGGCTTCGAGGAAAGTTAACATAGAGTTGTAGCTCGCATGGGAATACAGAACGAGACATGTAATATTCAGGCAACTGCCACATCATCACACACACATCTCAATGTACGTGACTGTTAGACGTTGCTGTGTAACAGATGATTGAATGAAGCTTGAACATAAACATATTCTGATTTCTAAGTGCACACCATCACGCTTTTCGATTTTGCTGTTTGAAGGAGCGTTCATTGATCCATCACAATTTTCCAGGTTCTGGTGGCTGAAATTGATGGCGAGCTAGCTGCACTTTTCTTTGTTTCGAAGGAAACAATTCCTCGCAGGTTGGAGAAGCTGTCCAGATACTATCCATTCTTGAAGTTTGCTGAAGGTCACATTCATAATGCGAAAAATGTGGGTTTTACGTACTGTTTTTAATTGAAAAGAGCAGAAGCAGGTAATTGTGATGTGGATATGGACCTGGGAAAGCGAATACGAGTAGAGTTTGGGCTGGGTAACTTTGCACAGACCGTCCTCAAATCCAATCCATCCTTCTACGGTAGATGGGCGTAGTTCTAGAGCAGATTTCCGTTAGTTTGTAATGTCTTGAATGGTCAGCACTTTTGCAAAAACCTCTGCATCTGGTTCTTTCTTTAGAGTACCAGGAATACTTCTTTCACAGCTTGGGCATTTGCTGGAGCTAATGCCCGGGCAAGGGCCTTCTCAGAAGTTTTTGTCAAGTTCTTTCGTTACTAGGAAATCGATTACCCGCCTACTGTCATTATCCATTTAATCACAATATTTGTCTTAGGAATGTCACATAGGGTATTGCAATATCGTGCTGGTGGTCTTTAGAAGTGATCAAGACAATATGAGTGTCAGGATAACATGGATCAACATTGCTTCAGTCTGTAGATTTCTCCTACTATAGGTGACCAGGTTATTGAATGGCGACGATGTTACCGAAGATATTCCGATCTCCAGATTCGTATTTGAGTGTTGTTCCGATTTCCGCAAAGCGGTCTATGAGCAATTGTTGCGTATACCAAGAGGATGCACGAAGAGCTATGCAGAGGTTCGACTGAAGGTTTTAAACTTTCCGCTCAGCTGATCAGTCTCTTGCTGCTATGGTGAACTGTTTTGCTCCCAGGTAGCTGCACAGATGGGACGACCGACTGCCTACAGGGCAGTGGCGCAAGCATGTGGAGCTAATGTGTTGTGCGTCATCATACCATGTCACCGAGTCATTGCGTCAAATGGAACCCTGCATGGTTACGGTGGGGGCCTGGATATGAAGAAAAAACTTCTGGAGATGGAATCTTCCCAGAAGTTGTTAACGAAATAAGGGTTGCATGACTTTGTCACTATTGATATCTAACTGCTACACTTTGTACTGATTCGTTTGATACTCAAGGCCCTGGTGTGCATGTATATATAATTTTTCTATTTACCTATGCCATCCATATTGTAAAATATGAAGAGTCGCTCAACCTAATTACGTCTACGTGTTTATTGACATTTCTTGTCGATCACTATGTTATATGAATAGTCGCCCACTGCTGGTTTCTTGAGAATGCTCGAACCTTTCTCAGAATCCTCCTCATTTCAGAAGTCGTTATTGTGCCTCAGTTCAAAAGAAACTTTCAAAAATGTTTCTGCAGGACTTCAGGTGACATTGGGCCCTTTGTGGTTGACTGTGACATTGTCTCTCATAGAACACCTTCAATTTACGGTAAGACGTTTTTCTACAGTCTCACCTTAACTCTTTACCCAAACTTCACATCAGAAATGAATGGGAATTCCTGTCTACACGTTTGGGGTACCGGGAAAATAGTGTAGGTATGCCGCTCAAAAAAGACAACTGCGATCATTGAGAAACATTCCAGGGTGGTTTTGAGTACTTCATAGGTTTGAAGGATGAAGGCAAAGTCTTCTGACGTTAACCAGTCCTGTTTTGGAATGCTCCCCACGTTAGACTTCTATTCAGAATCGTAGTGACGTTTTGGATACGGCCGTTTATGGCAGGTCACCGCGAAGATGAATATCTCGATATGGGCCTGCGGTTGGATCGTAGTAGGAATGAGGACGTCATTGCGGTCATGCAGATAGCTCCTACCCAGATGAAGATTAGAGAACAGCGCCTGCGATGGTATGGGCAGGTGCGAAGAAGAACGCGATACTTCCCGGTTCGAGAAGCAATGGAATCCGGAGCTCAAGAAGGGTGACTACGAGAAGCTTCACAGAAAAGAGGAGAGGTCTGATCAGAAATGGTTCCTCTAGAGCCAAGTCAATGTTGTTATGCTCCCAAACAAACCTGTTGTTAGCTATCTATCCCAGAGGGTTGGGAGGGTTTGTTGGCTTGGGAGAGTATCAACCCGGATTTTGATCGCCGGACAATGCAGAGATGGCGCAATGTACCAACCAGTTGCGCAAGACTGCTTTATTATTGTTGTTGTTGTTTGTTGCTCTTTTATTTTGATGTTGGGATAACAAATAGATGACACATCGCTGATTGGAAATATAAATATCGTCAACTAGCATAGCTGCCACCTTTTTTTTTNTTTTTTTTTCTCAGAATTTGTTTGTTCTATCGTTATATTTTGTGTTGCTGACGTTTGTTTATGCTTTCTTTTCAACGCTGTCTTATATGGCGTATATTATAAATAAATAAAATAAAAACTAGCATTTGTCGTTGTTGAAACAGCAAACGCAGTCTGTTCCATTCACAGAAGGCAATCCTGAGGTGTGATCCTGAAACAGAGAATCTTGAATTTTCGAGAAGTTCATCTCTTCTTTTCGGTTCCAGCTCTGCCTCTGAAATACTCTTAATTCACCCAAGCTATACTGTATCCCTGATAATGGTAAATTCAAGTAAAGCTAGGGCAGTAGGCAGTTAACAGGAGCTTCTAGGTGCTAGTACAATCACGCGCATTTAACAGCGATTCAAGCTAAGTTTACGAAAATTCTAAGAATTGGGAAAATCATTCCTAATTCTCAGTCGGTCCTTGAACAAATACTAACTTGGTCATATATGGAATTATCCCTCGTCTCCTATTAATGTTCTCAAATTGGCGTAGACGAAGGTGTAGGGCTTCATCCTGGACCATTAACAGAAACCTTTTCTCATTGAATATTCCAAGTAAACCGTTCCAATGTCTGCCTTGATAGTCCACGAATTGGCGAGCGACCGATCGCGGACCTATCTCGCGAGCGACTAGCGAACAGTCGCTCGGCGGCGCCCATGGCTAGCGTCGCCTCCTCGACTGGTCGCGCGATCAGTCGAACGCTGGTCGCCGGTCGCTCACGAGTTAGGTCCGCGACCGGTTGCTCGACTAATCGTGCGACTGGTCGCCGGTCGCTCGCCATATCGCGGACTTTGAAAGCAGCCAATGAAGTTGTAGACTTGCCAGGCGAGGACCGCGACAGTTTTCTGTAGATGTCTATCTCGCTAGGATGAATCTGTAGCACCCTCACGTATCATATGCGACGCTGACAGGCCGGAAAATAGCCGATATAGGGCGTTATGAAGGCTCAAATTTCGTACCGTGTGTATGCTCAGACAAGTTCTAATGACGTTGCAGAGGCTGCACCACCTTCACAAGGAAACCCATGTGGGAATTTCAAACAATTTATCATGAACCATAGCGACAGAGAAAGGGAATTCTGGACAGTTTTGGCTTGATGTGCTTCTTTGCGCAATAACAACAGCTGAAATCTCGTCCAAACTCCCCTCCCATATCATTTCCGTCTGGAAGACTCCTACAACCACTGTTTTCACTACTTCTGAGGAGCCTTATTTTTCACAGAGACACTCGCTCCCTTCACTACCGATGCGCTATTTCCAACCAATGCTTCCCCTTTTCGATTTCAAAAGGGTTCTTCACTGTTACCATGAGCTGCGCCTGGACCGTTCGCACTGTGCGCCGCTCGCTGACTTTTGTTGACCGTTTATACTTCTCAGTTTCGTTGTATTTTAGTCAATCACGTGCTTTCGTACTCTACCATTTACATGATTGTCATGGATACCCAATCATGCCTTTTAGGATGAAACTGACTGATTTTTTGGGTTTAATGCTAATTGGAATGGAAGAGGTGGTGGAAACTAACCGGCGTCAAACCCTGCGAAAGAGCTTCCATAACACAGCATGTACTGCATCTGAACCAACAAGTTTTGATTGATGTTTTTTTTTCATGTGTGACCTAAAATGTAATTTACCGGGCCATATTATTGCCATTTCTATCCAAGCACTCGATTCTGACAAACACACCATCTGCGATAGTTCTAACCGCAGTGCGACGTGAACAACCTGCACAAAATGTATACAGTCAGTTGCTATACGCTTTAACGTTCAGATTAAGGAGGAGGGGAGGCCAGGTGAGTTTCTTTTCGTTTACTTGGTGTGAATGTCAGGTTCACTGGTCGAGATGCGTAGCGGCTTTGGAGGATTGAGTATAACTTACTGAATCCACACGGTAGTCTTTCAGCGGGCGGAATAAATCGTGTTTCCGGAGGCACCTGAACCGAGCAGAACAGTAAATGGAAACTATAAGAAATGTCCATTATAGTTAGAAATCGTTCCATAAACCTCATTCGAATATGCTTCAAGCTACCAAGAAAACTTTTGTTCTAAGTTTCTATGTAGATATTATTTGATAACCCCTAAACCTTCTTCCTCTCGAACTCCTTACGAGCGGAAACGATGGTAACCAAGATAGCGACGAGAACGAGATGCATGACAAAAGTGAAACGATGCCCTAAAAAAGAGAAAATTTCTATTAGTAAAGGTCTTCAACCATAACTAAAGGCGGAAGGGGTGTGTGTCAAATCGTGCGTCCGAGGGTGCGCGCGGCATATTGCACGGCGAAGTTCGTTCCGAATTTGGAAGACTCCGGCGCCTCTCAGGAACTCCAAAGAGCAATTGATCTAACGGTGAGTTGGTCGAAGGATTGGCAACTGCCTATAGCGCCACACAAGACAGTGTACATGCAACTTCGTTCTTGTACTTCCCCAACGCGAACGTACATTGTTGATGGTGTCCCTCTCCCTGCTGTGCAATCCGTCAGAGACCTCGGCTTCTACTACAATGACAGACTAGACTTCACGGAGCACATCAAAACAAGGATTAGATTAGCCAATCTTCGGATACTCCAAATTTTCAAAGGTCTGCCTTTA